GTGGCCTTTCTGCCACAAGGCAGCATTCCCATTGTAACTTAAGACTTCGGCACAACCCAGGTTCGCTCATTTTTTTAATATGCATTAAGTGCTACAGAGAAATTGATTTATTTTTTGTTTGAGAATAGAGGAAAAAAACAGAAAGAACAAACTTACATGCAAGACTAGGCTGTATTTCTATCCATTTCTGGAGGCTTTTCAACCAGCAGCTCTTTACTAGAAAACATTTATAGCACAAAAGATGAGATAAACAGGGTAACCTTACAGAAGAGGTACTTCCTGTCTCAGCTGGCTCTCCAACAGGAGGAAAATTTGAACTACAAAATCTCTTCCTTCTGACCTCCCCACCTTGTAACCTTCCCCGTCAGTTGAAAAGAGGGAATTAACCCTGCACAGCAGAAGGGCTTCTGGAGAGCTTTAGAATATACCTGGAGCGGAGGTGTCCTCAGAAGCAGGTGAAGCCACCGACAAGAAGTGAACAGGGATTACTGCTACTTTTTCTCTGTCCTCTGCTCTACCTTCTTTAACTGCTTTCTGCTTCTGACAGTTTGCCTGTATATTGACTTCAAACTCTTAAGAGCAGACTGTGCCTGTTTTAACTTTGGAATTGCGCCTAGAGCGTGTTTTGGGTGCTACATGTCATTTTACAAAGCGATCTAAAATCCCTACGACTGAACGGAGTAATATCCTGTGCCAAAACGCTAACAGGGAAAATTCTTGAAAATGCTAAAGGGCCTGTTTGAATGGGGTAACAGTCAGAGATTTTCTTCCCCTGGACTTCCATCTGGAAGCTGTGCAGAATGACAGCAGAGCCCAAAGCGCGGTTTGCAGGAGGTACGTTACGGCAATCTCGCTGCTGCCAGCATTTCCCCACAAGGCACCTTCGACATCGCTTCCCCCCACGCAGCTTCGCCCACAGAAGAAACCACAGCAGCAAAAGGCACTTCATTCCTACTCTGCCGAAGAGAAGGCAGGGAAGGTTTTTAAACAACCTGCATTGTGCCTGTCTTCTTTAAAAAAACCAGCGGGGTAATCAAGTTCAGGGCAGCCCCGGACAGCTGCCCTGTGACCTATTCATGTTGACCCCCCCTATTCATCACTTTCCTTAGGACTATGAGGGCAAGCTCCCGGGGAGTGACCACCACAATAGACAGATACGAGCCAACAATAATACGGTTCCTGCAAAAAAACCAGATGGCACTGCAATAAATTTACAAATCTGCATTCATGGCTCTGTTTAAAACACCCAGAAGCTAAAAGGCTGCAGGGGCCCCCAGAGAGCTTCCCCTTCGCAGTTTCTAAAGGCCAGCTCTCTCCCCAAGACTATTGAGCTCATGTTCTTCATAAATGAAGAATGGAGACGTAGCCCTTAAAATAACAAATGCCTGACCTAATCAATCTAGCGTTTGGGTCTAACGCTAAATGATAGGCGCTGAAAGCTAATTATGTTTTTTGGCAAGGAAGTTGAATTAAAATGGAAACACACAGGTTAAAAAGGCACTGAAGCATTTGCGAGTCCCTTTGAAAGGGCGGCACGCACACACACACACGCTCACACACAGGGTTCGAAACAGGAACCTGATTCAATAACTCATGCATTTATTTTTAAAATGAATCAGATTAGTCCCATGTGTGACCTGCCGGTCCATCTGTATGAGCTGGACTTAATGGGCACTCTTCTCACGCTTACTTCAGTTTGAAGTATGAGAGAGATAAATTTAGTTTAATTTTCAACAGATCAAGCTATCCATTTTCCAAATGGACCATCTGGATCAGCCTATTAAAATTAATTTATAACTTTGCAGTGCGAAAATTCGTTTGTTAGCTTAAATAAAGTTGCCAAAAACTTTTGCCACTTGTCATTGTTTTTTTCTGGTCTGTTTTCATACTATGATTTTCAGTTTACCCCCTCAAAATTTAATTTTGTCAGATCAAGCAGTCAGCAAGAACTGAATATTTGCATCCTTACTTCAAAATCTGTCACAGCACAGATCTTTTTACCATTCCAGCGAACAGCGTCAAGCTCACTCTCTTTTTTTGTTTCTTTTCCCAGCGCTCATCTCCTTGTCTTCTGCTTTGTTGCCCCTCATGTGTCCAAGAGTGGCCATGCCCCTCACTTCCATCATGCTAGGAACACAGCTCCACTTGCTGAGACTTCTGAAGACGCCCTTCTACAAAAGCCATTTCAATCAACAGAAGAATTACATTTCTCCTAGTAAGAGGTCCATAAGTACTAAGCAAGGGGTCTTCAGCCTGCTTGCAACTCTGGAAGCTGAAGTAACCGTTACACCTTCTGGTATGCCTGCACCACAAACCTACCTGAGGCAACATTTATGGCAAAGGCTGCATACCAGCACAGCAAACAAGGCAAGACAATGCACCTTACTTAAACTTCTCAGCTGAACATATCAAGACACCATGCTTCCCCAGAAGTGGTCTGATGCATCTCATCCATTTCCTAAAACTAAACCATCAGAAAAGGACTAAATCTGAGGACATTCCCACTAGAAAGACTAGTTAGGTAAACAGACTTCCCACCCCCTCCACACACACATACACATACTGCATTCATCCATACTGGTAAGTATATCCTTGTTTCCCAATAATGAAATTTAAATAGCAGCATCTCAAGGGAGGGACAGAAAATATGAAACTGTACACTCAATATTTACCAAGTTAACATCTTTCCACTAAGGTACCAGTACTGAGTTCAGCACTTTTTGCGTACTGCTGCTTTGACAGCATTTGCAGATCAAGTCATTTGGTTTTCCAAAGTATGGACAGGTATAAGACAGGGTAAGCACATTGCATATCTTCCTGTAGGAGATGTAGATCTTTCCAATAAGTATCTCTCTACTCGTTCATTAGGACAGAAGAAAGCACATGGCTGCATGTGTCTGAATCTTGCACATAGAGTCGGAAAATTCTGACTGCTTCTTGCCAGTTGCTAACAGAGAAAAAAAGGAGTTCATCTCAGCTTCCAAAACGATCTGATAGTTTTTATTTATGCGTACATAAAGAACCAAAATTCCTTCTGCCACAGACACAAAATCTTGGGTAACCACCTCCTAAGCCCTAGACAGGAGGGTGCTGGCTTTAAGACTCCAGCTTGAACTTGGCCACAAACACTGTTTTCAACACAAAAGGTGCCACACAACAATCAAAAGACCCAAGGACTGTGTCTTGTATCTGTCACAACAAAGACTGGGCACAGACAAAGAGGGGGACTGTGATACAACATCTTAACAATATCCTGAAACAGAGCTAATCATTTCTGCTGTAAACAATGTCCATATGAAATATTTCCAATGTGAAATATTTGGACAGCGCAGTTTTTAAGGTGTACTCTTGATACTAAGGCACCTTGCTCATGGTGAATTGTGCACCCATAGGACAGGCAGCTTTCCATGGACACTAAGAATACTTTTGGAGATTGGCAGGTAATGGAAAGAAGCCCATGTCAAGCAACCACACCTTCTTGGTCTGTATAATGCTCGTGTGAATATTTGTCACCTCCTCAACCAATAATCAGGATGAAGGACTCAGTGGGATGAGAAGGCACACAAGACAGGTAACCAGTGTTCCTTTTGACTTAACATCTCTCACGATGGACCTTTTCTTGGAGAAGAGACATATGTCTTTTTCTTTTTGAACCTTAAGCAAACTAGTCCACCACATAACTTCTTAGGCTTGTCATCAGTAAGCTAACTCTAAGATTTTTTTTTTTTTTAAAAAGGGTTTTCTGGTGTGTTGGACTCCTTCTAGACACTTGGTAGCTTTGTCCCTTTCTGCTGGCTCTCATGTTTGTTGCTGGATGCCAAAAACATTTTAAGTTTGGTGTAAGGCGTTTAATCAGTTCTACAAGGGAACCTCTCTCCAACGATATCTGATATCTTGCTCATTATCCAAGTATATCGCCTCTTGTCAAAAAGACTTCCATGGACCTGTGTCTTAGCCACATCTAGACCTTCACATGACACCTATTCCCACAGAATCCAACACTCCTAACAAAGTATATTATAAAACAAGTTAGCTATAAGAACAGTCTATATCAAAAAGATATTCTATCATAGTTCTGACTCGCAATTTCATTTAGAAATAGCAGTAGCGGGGCACTGTATTAACACCCTACTCCTCTGCCTGAGGCTGCCGCTCTTGTAGCTGAGGTCCAGCTCCTCAGTTGCTTCAGTCTGCAGCCTGGGTATTCACTGACATCACCTTCATCAATGGTTTTACTCTGATACATCAGGCACCAAACTTGGGCAGCTGAGGCATGCACACATATTTGCTTCTGCTGCCTGAAGGTTGCACTGGGGAGAAAGAAAGGCAAACTTGAACCACCATCTGAAATCACTAAATCCTACCTAAATCGACCAAAAATCATAAGCCAATTCCCTCTGTCATCCATGGGGATTATAAAAGTCTTCTGATGAACTGGTAAGAAATTTGCTTTACTACACGTGAGGGATAAAGAGCTATGTTTATCAGCCTGCCCTTTCTCCTTTCTACCCAGTCGTAATTTATATGAATTTAGAAGAAAAATTAGGTCATTTTTCAGGTTATTAACCTGGACATCTTCTCTAAGAAAATTTACCTTCAAGAGTAATGAGAAGCTTAATCGTTGTAGAACGCTCTGAGATTCTTGAAAGCGCAACTTGAAGCAAGGCAAAACATACGACAAAGAGGACAGGAACAATTACAGAAGAAAAGGCTGAAGAGGTCTTGATGAACAGCAAATGGAGAAAGGTAAAACTAGAAAGACACAGGTGACAGCACTACACAGAACAGTCTAGCTTTCCTTAAGAGTCATCAGACCGCACCCTTGTGAAATCTCAGCCCATGTGTCTGATTTCCTCAGGTGCAATGCAACCTGCTCAAACTTCAAAGGAGGTGAGAAAGGATTTTCATGAGCACAAGTCAGACTTCAGCTTCCAAAAGCATTTTAGGATTCAGGTAGCTTAGAAAGTTTTATTGCATTTTTAAAGAGACTGATCACATACCTGTCTAAGTGAATTCTTCTCGGGAATGATCTTCCTAGGGGGCTCGTCATTATTACAGTCTTCTCTCTCAGAAGAATTCTGTGAAAGAAAGTAAGCTTTAATTCAGTTCTTATCCCTAATGTTACTCTGTGAGAAGAAAAGAAAAAGAATATTTGTAGCTACACAGGGCGTATTATTTTACGCATACGTCTACTGGAGGCTAACTTTAGCCAAATGGCTTGTTGCGGCAGAGAAATAATTTCTCCTCCACAACACAACAACGCACCACTGTGCAGATATCTATTATAGAAGCCCGGGCTTTGGGGATTTATACTGAAACTACCAGTAATAGCCACTTTGGAAAGGTCTGATCAGTATGGCAACACCAATGCTTCTGAACTCCCCAGAATGACTACTTAAAACAGGAACCTGTTGAAAACTAAAGACTGTTAATGGGTGCACTTGTCCTCTATGCCCCTATGCTTTAATTTGCCTAACTTATTAATTGCATAGAGTCTGCTGGGCCACCAGAAATCACTCAGAAATTTCGTTTAGCTAAATGCTGGTAAATGAGGTGGTCAGGAGGGAGGGATTGGGGGTAGTTTTTTGTTTGTTTGTTTGTTTGTTTAATCTGCGTAGGGGGGTTCGATACCACAGCTATGTCTTTCACTCTTGTCCCTCTAATATATACACAATTCCTTGACCTTTCCAGAAAAACAGACTACCACCTCCAGAAAGAGAGTATCAGAAAAACGGGGATGGGGACAGGAAAGAAGAACTGTGAAGGCCTTTCCAGGTTGAACATAGAAAGGCCACCAGGAGACTTTTGCCCTGTTAACCTCATGTTCTAAACCAGTTATTACTTGCTTTAGAATAAAGACAGGTTATAACTTATCTCAGAACACACACAACCTTTAGCAAACATCTGACTAAAAACTGCTCGGTACTGGGGGGAAATCCTGTCCTGGCTGACGCAGCGAGCAGCTCTGGAACACAGTGGTCCTTAGCACAGGACCAGCTTCTGTGTCGACAGAGTAATGACAGCCAGCTTTGGGGGAATCCCACAAACACATCTAAAATCAGTTTGATCACCACAGTATTCATAGCCTGAGGCCACATTCCCACACGTTCAGTAGTGAGTAACTAAACAGGTTTTAAAGAGAGACAGAAAAACTGCTTAGGGAGAGCTCTGCCAGTAAAAGCGTGGTTTTCCAGTTACTTGCAGGCAAGCTCAGGAGCAGTATTTCAAGGTGCAAGTTTGCATCCTGTACTTTTCCCCCTTCATCCCCCAAATAACCTCCTCTTCTGCAGAACGCTGCTCTGCCCGGTTTCTCTCAGAGCCAGCTTCCAACCTCACACCTCAGGAGACAGAAGCGGCATCTGTTGGCAACGGAGGAGCTGAGCCCCGTGGACAGCGTGGCAAAGTAGGGCTTGCAGAAAGCAAGCAGGCTGCAGTGCTGCGCGAGCAGGCATGGATGGCGCAGCTCACACGTCTGCAGGTCTCTTGAAGGGGAGGAAAAGGTGCAGCCGGGAGGTAGGCAGGAGCATAAGCTGTTTGCTGAAAAATGGCAAATAAGGGAAGGAAAAAAAAAAAAAAAACACCCAGGATGTCATAAATTGGTCCTGAGGATTCTGCGTAAATCAAGGCCTGCAGACCAACTAGCAATTTTTTTTTTTTAAAACAAGATATAGAACTCACAGGGCACCATGACATCTGGGATGCTGTAACCAGGGTTTTATAATGGAAATCAATCCTAAACAGGCCTGATAAATCGCTGTAAGAGGCCAGCTTTTAAAAGTTTTCATATGAGGCCACAGCCAAGGACCAAGTTATTACATTAAATCTGGCTTAGAAAGGACTGTGATCGTAAAAATCACACAAGCTAGAACCACATATCTGCAAAAAAGAAGGTCAAACATAAAAGCTGCTCTTTTCTTCTCAAGAAATGCAGTTTAGTAAGTGGTTAATTCAAGTAAAGCCTTCAATTTTGTGCTTTGGAGGAAAAAGATCAAGTGCAAGAGGCATAAGAATTTGAGGTGAATGCTATACATTCCAGGAAAGAAATTTTGTTGTTGTGGAAGGGCAGGGAGGGGTTTTTTTTTTTTTTTTTTTTTTTTTACTATTTCTAGATGCATTTTCAACATTCATCGCCTTCCTTACAACAACTGTCAAAATGATTCCCCCTTTCAAAAAATCTTTTCTGCGAAAGTTAAATCTTATGTTTTACTAGCCTTGCAAAGCCAGTAAAGGATTCTCCCTCCAAAAATGTTAAAAGTAGGAAAATCAATGCCGATGGTGAACTGTCAGCCCTTATTTTGAAATTCCTGGTTACTGCAACGCATCAAGTTATCTACTTTTTCTTTAAGCTGAGCATCTAATTTTAAGAGCAAGCAGAGGACCATTTTGCATTCATTATCTTTATAGGTGGCAAGGCTAAGAGGTTGGCTGAACAAAGACCAGACAAAGACTGCCAAGTGCATATGGTGGTTCACAGCTTGGCGTCTCACCATTCTACAGCACCAACACAGCAGCTCCAACAGCAGACTATTAAAGAGGAGCGCTGCTCATGCACTTTTGTCGGCAAGTAAGTTACGCTTGGTGAAGACAGAATGACTGGAAAGCATTACACTTAAGAAAAAGCACAGATGTTTATAACTCCCGCTCATTTCTCAGGCATAGGGAACCCATCAATCCAGGTGTAGGTACAAGATCCTGCATATTTTGGGACGAACTGTAGCTGCGTGGAAGCAAATTCCACTTGATAAGGTGATGTTTAGCCATGGCCATAGGAAGAGTATACTGCAATCGAGTTAAACAGTGTATCTATATATTTCTCCTTGCTGAACAAGGTGGGAGGAGGAATAAATGCATGAGGTCAGAGTAAGGTTCACTTTGGCAGGACGTCAGCGATGCTCTGGGCCGCAGGAGAGGCAGACAAAGGGAGGAACTGTTCTGAGCACCCTCTCGTGGTTACTGAAATGCACATGTCGGGCACAGCTCTCGGAAGCAGCATTTGGTATCCAGACGGTGGGGTGGTGTACTCACTAGGAATATTAAGATCTGCAGTGATTGTACTTGATGCATAGTAGAGGAAGGAGGGAATTTGTTAGGGTGAAAGAAGTGCAGAAAAATATTGGACATAAAAAGCAAGTATGGCTGAAAACCCATACAAACTCTCTTTCCTTAAAGCAAATTCTACAGTCCCATAGGCATGTCTGTCTTCACGCACTAAAACTAGACAGAAGCATTTGCACTTGTGTGCAGGGGTCTCTCCTTTCAAACAAGCACCGGACAAGTAAGATAAGATGAGAAGGGCCAAAGCCTACAAAGCACGAAGTGTTCAACTCTAGGGAGATATATACCTGCCCCTGACACACTTTCCACAGACCAGTAAGACTTTTGGTGTTTTTTTTTTTTTTTTAATCTGCCCAAGGTCACGCAATGACATTGGAAATGTGAGAAAGAGAAACCAGCAAACCCATCCTCACATTTCTTCTAACCTTCAAAATTTCTCCCTAGCAGGAGGTTCCTGTGAAGGGGATATGCCCTCCATAGTTTATTTTTCCTAAAATGGCTTCAGTCTATAATGAGATCCTTTTAAATCTGATTTGCATTTAAAACTTCAGCCTGTAATTAACAGAATATAATTCCATAGCAGGTTGTCTTAAAGACCACCACAAAATTATTACTATTTAACTCTCCCCGTGAAGTCTCCTCCATCACTAAACACAACATGCTACAATGCATACAAAACCCCTAGACTGAAGTGTTTGATGTGAGATGACATGCAGTATTTTGTGTACATAGCCCAGCAAAACACTGCTGGGAATGAGATATAATACATGGATAAATGCACTCCCAGGGACTACCAATTGGACAGAGCTACCTTTAGTACCGCCTCACTCGTCATGGTGGAAATGAAAGCCCTGCCAACTGGGGAGGCTTTCTTTGGTGCTGTTCTGCCCAACACTAATTATAAAACAGTACAGATGCAGCCCTTTTCCAAGTGCGGGGAGGTGGGGGTGGAGGAAGAACGGCATGTCTATGCGAAGAGCACAACTATTTTTTATGCTTTCAAATTCTTAATCCTGTTTGGAGCTGTCAGTGGGGGTTAATGGAAGCCTTGGATAGGAGAATTCCAATCTGGTTGGCAGATGGATAGGTTGGTTATAGCTGCATAACTATGTCTTGCCTGCAGGCACAATTCAGAACACTGTTAAAGCAATATAAAGTCTCTGTCAAGCTGAACCATTTGGATCAGTAGCAAGGAGAAATAATAATAAAAAAAGGAGTTCATTTCTGGGCCTTGCGCGTTTATGCTAGTATGCAGAAACTGATTAATTGTCATCGTGTGCTGGTCTGCTATACCTCGGATTTCTACTTCTGGAGTAGATTTTGCATGCTAATATAATCATTCTCCCTCTTGAGACATTAGCAAATAATCAAATGAAAAACAGGATCATAATTTACTGAGATTCGGGCAATTCTCTATGCAAATTTGACTTGTTATTGCTGCTGCCTCGTTAATCTGAATGCCTTTGACAAACTCCTTTGATTTATGAACTCATGACAACTCCAATGTGTATATATTTTGCTAGATTGACATTATCATTAAGAGTGGGTGGACTGAGCTCACATGAATGGCTGATTTTATTCGCTGGTGTCTGCTGCTCAACAGCTGAGCATCTCCTTCTCACAAAGCCCCTGAGCGCCAGGCTCTTCCCATCTACCCATCCATTCATCATCTCGATGTTAATTGGCCCAGGCTTTAAGCAAATTTTCAACACGATTTAAAGGCACGATGACACTGATTACTGACCCTCTGCCATACGGTGCCTATTGATTAACCTGACAGAGATGATGAGCTTGAGGGAAACTAGGTGCGCGTGGACCTCAGGGGGAAAAAAAAATATATTGTTTATGCAGGCAAAACACTTGTCATTATCCCAAAGGCCAGAATTTGTGCTGCACTGGCCCTTAAAACACACTACTGCTCTAAACACCTGCATCCAATACAGAAAATGCTTGCTTGCTTGCTGTGGAAAAATGATTACAAATTTGATGTCATGTGCAGTTTGTATTTTAATCGAGTTCTCTG